ATCTGGCTGGGAGATAGGTGCCTAACGATGGTTGCAAAATGTTCAATGTACGAATCAACGGTTGCAGCATTGTTAGAAAGTTTTTCTCCCGTTATTTTCAGAAACCTGATGTTGTGTCGTTTTATGAAATTCACGATGTATCCACGGCTCCCTTTGAACTTCTCATCGTTGTACAACTTTCCGTACAGTTTCGCTGCCTGAACCATCAACATATCCTGGCTAACAGGGATATGGCATTCACGTTTCTGAAGAAACCAAATGTACAGAGCTTCGTCGAGTAGAGGATATTTAGCCCTTTTGAAGGTTTTCCTTTTGTTTACAGATTATGAATTCATATGAGAACATGTGCATCGCATAAATTTCAAAAGGCTTACCCATCCGAAGTTGACGCTGTGCGATCTGTTCCATGATTTTCAGCTTCTTCTTCTTTAGGTCGTATGCAGTCGATTCAGCGATGTTATACTTCCGCCTTATTTCGATCATAGGTTGCCCTCAAATGTAGTGTGTTGCTTTTTCTCGTAACGTTTTAAAACAATTCAATATGATTAAGGGACCATAACAAAATGCTCTAGAGGAAATGCGAGTTCTTCAGAAAGGTTTTTCAAAAATATGGGTGCGATGCCGTTAGGTCCAGACCCTTTCGACGCGTTTAAGTTTTTTAGTGCATTGAGGACTTCATGTTGAGAAAGTTGGTGGACAGAGATGTTTTTAGAAATTTCAGGAATGAATGCAAAGAAATCGCGGTCACGATCTTCTTCGGAAAATGTGGTGCATACTTCTTGGAAGAAATTTGCAAAGATATTGCAAATTTCAGAAGAATTCTCACCTACAATTGCATCAAAATTCATTCGCGAAGGAAAATTGCTGCTTTTTAATTTCGTGTTTACATAATTAAAAAAGTTATTAGGACATGATTTGACTTCATTTTCGGCTTTGCGGTTATAGTCCTCATATGCAGAGTTGATGGCTGTATTTAATTGGATGCATAAGTTGTGATAGTTTCGCAAATTGGTTTCAGTTTTTTCATTTTTGTATAGTTTATGAGCTTTCTGTTTTTTATTCTTCAAATTTTTCAGTTGTGGATTGAACCATGCGGGTAGTTTATTGTTTTGTGTTCGTCTTCTTTTTTTGATGGTACAGTTTCTAAAATTAGGCTTTAAAGAATTGAGTGAAATTTTTCTACTTCAGTATCGACATTTCCTTCAATACTTATTAAATTTTGCCAATTTATTGTACATAGTCTACGTTTGGCTTGTTCTTAATTTGCTTTATGGTATTCCGGCACTTCCTCGTATTCCCAGTCGCTGGAGGAAGAAGAATTTTGTACGAAGATTGAGTATTCAATTGCTGTGTGAAACACTTCATTTTTCCATAAAGGTGTTAATGATGTATCCACCAGAAATCTTCAGTACAATTTGTAAATATGTTATGAGTTTTGTTGATTTTTTACATGGTTTATTTGATTAAGACCAGAATAAGACATTTTGTCGAATAACTGGAATGCTCAAGTCAATGCTGTGTGCAGCAAAGTTTATTGTACGCTTCACTCCCTAGTTTTGTTACGTCACTCCACGCCTCAACATATCAGACTTCAGCTGGCTAGATCCTTGATCGTTCCGTTATTTTTGTACGGGGATATTATCTTTAGTTTAACTTTTAAGACAAATACAAAGAAATTAAACTTGGTATTAAATGCCGTTACCAGATACGTATACGACCTGCGGAAATACGACCACACTTCTAACTTTTCTAATTTATTACTCGGTTACGATTTCGTCAACTACATGAAACTTAGAATGTGTATTCAAACTTTTAAAATTTTAAACGAAAGTCCGATATATCTTCGAAACTTCTTTATTAACTCACAATCTTCTAGGTTAAGTATTTTAATTATTCCAAAATGCTTGACACATTTTTTTAAGTGAATCGATGCGCTATCGTTCGATTCGATTATGGAATGAACTACCGAGGGATTGCCTGACAGCAAGAAGTTTAACAACATTCAAAAACTTATGCAGCAACTACTTCAGTTAGGTTAATAGGTACATCGGTAGTGCAATAGTAGCATATACTCTGAAAATCATTAGTAGATTACTTGTGCTATTATTCTTGTATTGTATAAATAAATAAAAAAAAAACGCTCAGAAAAAATCATGTAAATTTAGGTGCTCTGAGACTGACATATATGAGCGTCAATTTTGACATAAAACTGAATCATAATAGATTTCTAATAGATAATAGAAATTTGAGTCATAACAGACGTGAAATTCAGCTCAATCAAACGTACTTTTTATTTATTTATTTATTTATTATTTTGATTGTAAGTGCACAACATTTTTCCCGGCAATTTTTTGTTTCGACGACATGACTGGAACTACAGTATAAATTACTCATACGGTTCAAAAGTTACAGAAGATTTTTGGTGTGCCATTTTTATCGAATACATCATTTAGTCTCTAGGAGGTCCATAATTATTAGCTAATTTCAATGGATAAATAATTTTTGAAAAAACTTGTGATTAACTAGCCAATGACTAAACATTACATTGATAAAGAATTATATTAAAATTGTTTAGACAAAGCATCATCATAAATAACTGTTATGCCTTAGTGGAAGCGATGATGGCAGGTAAAAAAACACCACAGCTTGCTGAGTACGCTACTGCAAATAGACAGTCCTATGTAAATTTTCCATGGTATGCTGTGGTCTGTTCTAGAAAATCCATCTCATCTTCATCAAACCAAGATCGGCCGAGTGTTGTCTGCTGAAACATGTATCTGCATTTGGTAGAAGATTGTACAATATCTTAATTAACTAATACGTAACTTTTCTTTTAATTTTAAATTTTTTATTTGTTCCAAATTCAAAATAATAAAATTTCATTTTAATCTTGGTGCTCCAGCTACTACAGCAACTTACCAGCCTTAATTGTGTGATATACATATCTAAGTGTTTACATTCACACTTCGAAATAAGAGATGAAAAAAGATGAGACGTAAACAAAAATGTCGTGTGTTTTAAGTGCTCCGGGACTGAAAAGTTCGTTGCTCGACGAAAAGTACGTTTGATTGAGCTATATTTCACGTCTGTTATGACTCAAATTTATGTCAAAATTGACGAATTTTTCAAGATGTGTTGTTTTTTTCTTTGGTAATTCAGTATTTTAAAGGTTTTTTATGCCTGCATGGAAGTATAACTAATACGTAGCTTATTTTACGCTCCATAAGAAGGACTAACTGAGCCATTTTTTATAAGCATTCTAATGAAGGCTTCATACCAAAACCAAACACAATGTACACCTTTATCCAGCTGAGATGCTATCACCATGCTTCTACGATATTTGCACACCTCTGGGTTTCTGTTTCTAGGTCAAACAATGTCTAAATATCTTTTACAATCTCAACTTGACGATTATATAGCGCTCACTTAGCGGTCCAATTTATCTACATAAACCCGTGCTAACCATTTTGAGCAGTGACCCATTTATTGACTTTTTGTGTACCGTTTGTGCGACAGGTTTCTCTCTCCTCTCGCTTTCGCCACAATAAGCCCGCTGTCGGGATAAAATCTCGTCAATTGGTCACACGTATTCACTCCAAATTCCTTTCCTCCAACCTCACCCATCACCTCCATTCCGATCCTAGAATCTACGAACAAATCCCGCCTGTCAATTAAACAATCCAAACCCACACCGGGGCCATTAACCCCAAAATCAAACCACACTCATCCTGGTGGTGGTAGCTCTTTTAATGTGTCTCATTAAAGCGTTCTCTCCCGCTGAGTCAGAGGACCTCTGGCAGCAGCTGGGGATGCACACATTACATACCTACACTTAAATCCCGCTGCGATATTGCCGGCTACCACACAAAGAGAGCTGGTATAATACCGATCCCCGGTGGGTGGACGGCGCTTGCAGTCCGCGAGTTCGAATGCGATGCGATACGATGGATCGGACGTCCGTCCATCCGTCCATCCAGGTGCCATAATATTTACGCGATAATTCGGTCATACACGTTCACACGGGAGGGAGGAACGAAAAAGGAACGGAACCGCCCACCAGGTCGTCCGAAGACGACGGTGAGAAAGGAACATCGTGCAGCGGGTTTTTGTTTGCAAGCAATTGGTTCTGGAGATTGTTTGTAATTGTCTGTTTTTGACATCATCTTGAGCGACTCTACAGAGTGATCGGTGATGCCACGGAGATGAGAGGTGATCTGCCGATGCCGAAGCGAATTCGTTGAATGGGATTTGGTGAAGCGATTTTGTTTGCCAAACAATGTGTTTAATGCATCGAGATCTTGAGAGTGTAATTGAAACTGAAATATATATACCAATTGAGAATTTGTTGACTTTCGTTGTATGTTGAATGTTGAAGAACGTTGTTGATATTGTTGGTAGTAAGGTATAACATCTCTGATCACGCCTTCCTTCGGAAGGGAAGTAAAGTCGTTCGTCCCCGGTTCATGAGTTGATGGGTCGATAGTTAGGGTCCAGGTGTTGGAGCTGCCTCCCTGGCGTCTGTAGTAGTGGTGCTCAGGACGGAAAACAAGATCGACGGAAAACAAATCAAGGAGGTCTTTTTACGCTTCATGAAGTACCCTACCACCCTAAAATGCTTATTGATTGCATGATTTTGTATGTATTCCATTGCAGCCATTCTGCATATTGGGTAGTATGACTAAACTAGTTCAATTTTTTCCCCATAAGAAATTCAATGCGAGACTTTACTCCTTTTATTCATACGGCATATAGTGTGGTAAGCACAATTACAGTTTGTGCATAGGAAAGTCGAGAAAATGTCTACCCCGAAAAGTAATCGAATCCACTGCCTCCGGCATGGTGTAATTTAATCAGGAAATATCACTTCGATCTGAATTACTCTTAAATATCAAGATGGATTTGATTGAATTTATTTTGGATGGCCCTTTTATTCCTTATCGGTATAAATTTTAATTCGATGATGCACTCAACATGCCATTTCGTTTCGTTGCATTTTCCAGACCTTCTTCGCGCTGACGATCGCCTGCACGTATGCTGGCAGCATCAACTCCTCCATCGTTAGCAACATCAACAGCAGCAGCAACGACATCAGCGAGCAACATCGTCCGGCAAAACATCGCACGGCACGACTTGTACGCGAGTTCCCATCCAACATCGGCCAGCGGCTGCAATCGATCGAGTACCCATCGTACAACATTCCCAATCCATACGGTTAGTTGGTGATTGCAATGCCGAGGAGGCTAGTGCATCAAAAGACGAACCCGAACCGATGACGTCTGTGATATTTTCGTATTATTTTTCAGGACCCGGAACGTATGCTTTTGGATATGAAATCGAGGATCCTCAAACGGGCAACGTTCAGTTTCGTGATGAGGAAAAGTTTCCGAATGGAACCGTCCGGGGTGCATATGGCTACATGCAACTGGATGGGAGCGTGGTGATCACACGTTTCTACGCGGATTTATTTGGATATCAGTAATGTCTCATTGAAATATTGTTTAGTTTTGTTTTAATAAGATACACTTTTATTTCAGTGCCAATACCGAAATCAGACAATCGGATGGGCAACTTATCTCATCGTTCCCTGGAAGATCTCCAACTTCGGTCAACCGAAATCCATCCAACAACATCCCAGCAACTTACAATCCGGCCCTAAACGCAGACTACATCGACCCCCAGTACAGTGCAGCCATTCTAGGCCATATCAAGAATCAACAGTTCAACCCAACGCAAGGTCTAATGCAGTACCCTAACGGGATTTCACCTTCACAACCATTCCAAGTTCAAGATGCCCCCATTTCCCCAATGCCATTGCTCCCGTACCAAGCCCCAGCCAATGGAAACATCTTTTCGAATTTCTTCAACCAGTTCCCCTCGAATCTGAGCCCTTCAAATTTGTACAACAATCTTCAATCGACCTTCCCGAACATCATACCTCAACAGAACCCGCTGAATACGTTAGCTACCAACGTCCAAAATGGTTTCCAGCAATTCACTCAGAACAATCCGTTCGGAAATTTCGTCAGCAATGCTCAGTCTCAACTGCAGCAGTTGGTGCCGCAGAATAATCCCCTGGCCGGTTGGTTCAACGGAAATCGTTTGGGACAACTGCAGCAACAGCAGCAGCTGCAACAACAACAGCAGCAGCAGCAGCAGCAGCAGCAGCAGCAGCTCTTCCTACAGCAGCAACCCGGAGCCGGACTGGTTCTTGGCGATACGGGACTGACCTCAGGCTACTTGAACGGACAAAGGATACCGACGACGAAGCGCAGACGTATCATCCCCACCACCAAGAGGAGGAGACATGGTCTCAAGACGCGGATCGGAGCGGAAGACGATTGGTTGGACGAGTTTTTGGAGAGCCGTAAGCGGGAGATGATCTACGGGTTGACGACCACTCCGAAGACAGTTTCGACGGCGACCGTGCCCATCAAGGCCAGTGGAGTACCTACCTGAGGTGGTGGCTGCTATGGTTCTTGTGCGGTTATTTATTCGAATATTTATTATTTATGAATATTTATTACATGGATTATTTATTATAAATTTAGATGATTAGAATAAAATTGTACGATGCAAGAAATTTGAAAAATTATTTATATTTGTTGATGCCCTATGATGTTTGGATTTTTTCCACGAGACCGTTCAATTATAAGATATCTCGTTGGTCTTTCAGGCAGTAATTACAGCTAGTTATTAACCAACCCTCCCCCGCCTTGCCTAAATACATGCGCTCCCTTTAAGGAGAGGCCATAATTGTGTGTAATTTAGGAATGTACACACAATCTAGTTCGCTTTAATTTTGACTGCTAAAAAACATTCTGCAATCAGCAAACTACTAATTCATAAAGATCTTTTAACTTTTTCAAAGTCTAGACTTCTCTGAAGTTTTCGATGCTTTCCTGAAGAGATTGGAACTTGACCTGTGCGCCGATCAACATTTTGTCGGTACAATATTTTATTTTCCTCCAACAAATACGGAAGTGCAAGAAAATTGGTCCATTGCCCCTGGAACATCCACAAAGATTCTCCATATTTCATAATTATGATTTTTACACGTTCTCTCAATTTGTCCATGACCTTGGAACATTAATGTCGTTTTGCAAAGTTCAGGCATGACCTCGAGCCTTTTCTATGAATTTCAAAACAATGGTCCCAAAACATCCAGTTAGTTCTTAAGTCAAACCATAAGGTTTAACTTAAGTTTGCTGAACGTCTTTAATACTTCCCAAGCTATTACAAAATTCCCTCAACTTCTACAAATTTTGAAGAATTTCAAAAAAGTTCATTTAATTTTAAAAATAATACCAGCCTGTACTCGAAAAAAAAAATGCACCAGACAAAAGTGTTCGCCAAAAATTTATTTTATGTCGGATTTTCTTGAAACTTTCAGGGAATGAGCTAATACATATGGATTATGTTTCGGCCTAATAATTTTATTCAGTTTCCTTTCCATCGCTGAAAGCCCGCACCTTTCACTTAAAACCCCTCATTACATTTTGTGCAATGGTCGAGCAGACCTTTTTGGTCACTTTCATCCATTCTTTCTTCAACTCAAGCTCTTTCTTATACACCTTGGACGATTTTCAAACTTTGGCCTTCATTATGGCCCAAAATTTTTCCACAGGAAGAATCTCTGGTGAATTTAAGGGGGGTTGGCGGTTTTTGGTACAAAAACCACGTTATTGTCTCTGTACCAATCCAACGTCGATCGCGCGTAATGGCGTGATGCCAGGTCTGGCCAAAATAATGTCTCGCCTCCGTGGGACCACAGGAAGGGCAACAGACGCTTCTGGAGGCACTCGGTGCGGTGAATTTCGCTGTTGATGGTACCCATTGTGATATACGGTTTACTCAGTGTACCGCATTGGTATATGGACTGCCAGTGCAAGTATTTTTTGGCGAATTTGTCCACTTTTTTCTTTATTATGTCTTCCGGAACATCAAACCGTGATTTGGCAACGTAGAACTCCAGCCCCGGTATCTGCTTTGCATCTTTAACCACTCTCGATACAGCTTTCTTGCGCGGGATTTGGCCGCCGTGTTTTGTTGATCACGCCCCACAGTGGGACGAATTCAAAAAAAGTAGGACATGGTTATTTGCGACGAAACTATTGAGTATAGCTTTTTGTTGTCTTCTAGAATGTTTCTTTATTTTTTATGTACTTTATTTAAGTAGTGAAAATTTTTGGTTAAGGAGGGTATACACTTTTTTATGTCTTGTTAAATTTGATGAACACCTATGGAAACATTGCAACATTTGCATTATTTTTTTATCTGAGTGTATACCCTCCTTAACCAAAAATTTTCACTACTTAAATAAAGTACTTAAAAAATAAAGAAACATTCTAGAAGACAACAAAAAGCTATACTCAATAGTTTCATCGCAAATAGCCATGTCCCACTTTTTTTTAATTCGTCTCACTGTGCGCTGGTTCGGTGTTTTCCGGACCTTGAATACACGAAGCACCAGCTCGTTTCATGGTTTGCTGAATGAACCAGGCGGAACACTTTGCTTTCAGAGCCACGTCGCGAATCGAAAGGTTCGGATTACGCTTGAAATAATCCAACACCTTCCGGGCCTTCACAGGGTCAGCTGTCTTTGATTTTCTTCCACTTCCAGCCCACCGCTCGGTCGTCTGGGACTCCTTAAACGATTTTACCACCCGAGACACAGTTGTATGAGTGATTCCCAGTTGTCGCATGGTCGCAGTCGGATTTTCCATGACGGCGCGCAAAATTTTCCGGCGATTTTCTTCTTGTTTCGATGACATCTCAATAACCACTAAACCGATTGTTATGAAATTTTGCACATGTAAACAATTCACTCCAAACTAGTTATACCCAGATTTTCATAAATTTTTTATCCACGGATAAAAATGGTGCACTTTTTTCGAGTACAAGCCTTATTAAGTTTTGCGATGCCTTTCGAAATGCTACGCAGGGTTCTTCATTTTCGAAATAAAGAAAAGAAAATGAACTCTCCACAGAATCGCTTCACTTCGAGCAACATCATTTTCGTGTAAGTCATTGTGTTTATTGTTATGGAGTCATGATGAACATTACTCCTGTCAAACATTACTTGATTATCGCTTGCTTTGTTCATCAAGTGCATCAGTTCATTCGATTTGAAGCAAAGACTTGTTTCAATTGATGCAATGAATGACTCAAAAACTACTTCTTCTTTCCACTTTCTTTTCAATTCGGGGTTAAACGAAAATTAAATTAACGGAATTAATTTAAGTCCGAAAAGGCTCAAATGCCCTACAATAAGGGTAGATGCCGAAAATTTACATTCGACGCCATTTTGAATGCAAGATGGCAGCCATCGGGTCTCATAAAATGTTTCAAATATCCTACAATATGGGTATTTATCGAACGGGGACAACGCTTCGATGCTGAAAAACGATATCCAACGCCAATTTGCAATGAAATATGGTGGCCATCGGGTTTCAGAGAAAGTGTCAAATATCCTAAGATTCGGAATTCGGAATGAAGATGAGTGGATGCTGAAAATCGATATTCGATGCTATCTTTAATGACATCGGCATCGGACATCGATTTTTGGCCTCTATATGTCACCTTGGTTGCTGGTTTCTATTTGTTACTGGGATTTTGAAAATACCCACAATTGATACCACATGACATATTCACCACCAAAATCCATATGTATGGGTATTTGATAGAATTTCCCACTTTTTCTTAAACCAGAAGCCTTCATCATGGATTAAAAAATACCCATATTGAGGATATTTTACAGTATTTCCCACTTTTCTGAAATGCTGACCACCATCTTGGATTTGAGAATGGCGTTGCATATCTCTAGACGTCACCCCGATTCCATATTGATGGGTCGGCATAAGCGTCCCCCACTTTTTCTCGGAAATCGAAATGGATTTCAAAATGTCGTCGGATATCGATTTCCGGCCTCTAGGTCCGATTCCCAAAATACCCATATTGATGGGTAAACAAACCACCCGACAGTGATAAATTTGACATCCACGTGCCCAGATCTATGCGCATGCGCTTAAATTAACCGAGTGAACTCTCTCGCAAAGGTGGCGCGCAGGAAGGCGAATTTTATGATAGGCAAATTTCACACGATGAATTTTACCATTTAGTGCGTTAGAGTACCCTTTCGAGTTGGCAAACCGATTGGAACAATGGAAATCTTGGACGGTGGTTACATTCAATTATTCCTAATGTTTCTTCGAGAGCGTGGTTTAAAGGCTTGGACTTAAGTCGTGACTTCATTCGCGTGATGAGTAGACTTATGTCCAACCACAACTCGCTAGATGCTCATCTCAATAGAATAAACCTCGTGGACAGCAACATCTGTCGGTGTGGAAACGGTTACGATGACATCGATCACGCAGTTTGGCAATGGCGTGTTGGGAACTCGCGATATCTGCTATATGCAGTCGGTTTATGTTTTTCTTCAAATGTCTAGTATAAGAATTTAATTCCTTTGTCTTTTGTCTCTCTTTATTAGTTTTTGTTTGTCTTGTCCCCCGTCTCGATGAGTCTCATCGTCGTCCACTGGTTACCATAGCCGGTCGAACTCCAGCCGAATCTAGAACCACACTATCGTTCATACTGGTGATATCGCTCTGATGAGACAACGAAACCCTGTACCCAAGCTCCTCCCCTTTTCCTATCATTCGACAATATACCCCTCTAAGCTCGGGTAAGCCGCGAGTATTCAGCCCAGCTCCTACTAGGCATAGAATTAAGTGAATTTTGATTCAAACAAAGAACAATAAATTATCGGCTCCGTAAAGCTAACGCGAACTAGTTAAAAAAAAAAAACGGAGTGAACAATCAACAAAAGTCAGAAAAACTGCGCGAATTTGGATCGAACAGCTTCGATTCAATGCGAATGTAAGTTCATTTGACAATGAAAGACGAAATGAACACGAGTCAAGCCAAAACAAACAAGACGGAAACTGATCGTAGGTGGTTCTGTTGATGCTGAAGGGGATCTGCTCGAAGAGAAGACAGAATGACTTTCAATTGAAAGTGATGGTTGACAGCTTCGTCGTTGCTTGACGATTTTCGATTGAAAGTGACTTTGTTGGGCTCTGATGCATTGAGAATTCCTATTAACTTTGCTGCAAAGCAATCTGAATTTTTTAGAGTTTCTTAAATTTTCTGCGGAGAGGTTCTCCACAGATTTTTTTTTTCAAGGAATGAATCATATCGTCGAGTTTTTTTTTCCACAGAGATGGTGCTGTTCTGCTGGTAAGAAGGTAAATAATCTTTATATAGAAATTGAGAAAAGTGGGAATAATTCGCTTTTGATGCATATTCAGGTCAGAAAAAGTGAACGACAACCATGGTCTTTGTCGTCCAGTTTTTTTCATGGATATTATTTTTAAACAAGCTACTGTATTATGCAGCCCAGTGGCAGCCGCGTAGGCAACATGTTATACCGTGACAGCGGGCCCAGCACAGCAAAA